GACACTTAAGTAAACGACCCACCAAATGGAAGGTTTTAATCCCCTGGCATGAAGAATTAGACACATATGCAACATCTGGGTATCTTTATTGTAGACGTGTCGTCATCCAGTGGCTTTATCAATACAAATTCAAAGACATATTTGGAAGACAGTAGAACTACATACAAAAGATGAGGTAATCAGTCCCTCAGCCTTGGAGAATTAGATACATGTTGCATATATGTCTAATTGTGAATCTTGTCGGTATTGTATACCATACATGTACGACCCCTGGCATGGTACAGTGGACAGCAGGCTACTTTTAGCACTAGCCAGCCATCAGTTCGAACCCTCCGTTGACTGAGTTACACAAGGAACGCTGGAATAAGGCTCGATAGTGAGCCCCCTCTCTTCAGTCTACCAGCTGGATTTCCCCAAAGGGAAAATATCCCCACTAAATACGCTGAATGAGAGGGATGATGTGAAGGAGAGTTTCAGCCTTGATTCTAGGAAGAGAAAAGTGGTTCCCTTCCCTGGGATCAAGAGCTCTCACCAGAATCAGTGTTACCAGAGCCGAGCAGGAAGTCCCTCTCCCCCGAGACTAAAATCAATACCTCTGGCTAGATTTATTTGTACACAAAGAGGATGTGAAGAATGGGGCGGCTGGGTGGGTGGATGGGTGGGTGGGTAGTGGGTGGATGGGTGGGTGGGTAGTGGGTGGATAGGTGGGCAGTGGGTGGATGGGTGGGCAGTGGGTGGATGGGTGGATTGTGAGTAGAAATAAAACTGACTACATCTGAAGTGTGGTGTTACCCAGTTTCTGTATGATAATTATATTGCTCATTATACTCTATCACACAGGATGATTTTCCTATCATACTCAATCACAGTTACAGTCACGTGACTGGACGGGGGTTACACAGTCACGTGTTAATTATGCTAAAAAAAAGAACGTCGCTAAACCCGTATGGGTTATACATCATGAACATCTTAAAGAGGATGTTGCTGCTCAGTGACTGGGTCGTCCCGCCCACCGAGCACATCCAGGACCTCTGATTGGCTACCCATGCTCTTGTCTTGTGCTGTCATTGGTGGAGAGATCGAAGGGGCGGGGAATGATGACTTTCCAGGGCTCCGATTGGTGTAGAGGGAGAGAATGGGCGGGGGCAGGTGATATCACCGCCTCCCATACATCTAGCTCCTCCCCCCACAGCCAGACGATGATCTCATTCACTCGTAGACAAGCATGGTGTTAGGTCACGCTTCTTGCCTTTCTTCTATAAACTCTCCTTCTGACTTGGAATTCTTAATGTGTCGTCCAAGGTTTTCACTTATACCTTGAGAACGCCTCACCTGGTCGGCTTCAGATAAGTACATAAGAAAAGAGGAACACAGCGGCAGGCCTACTGGCCCATACAGGGCAAGTCCTTCTCAAGTCCAAATCCACTAAAAAAATATTTTCCCAACCCATTTTCAGTGCTACCCAAGGAATAAGCTTTGATAACCCTGTTAACTCATGTACAAGTTCCACCTAAATCCAATCTCTCTCACGTATTTATCTAACCTAAATTTGAAGCTACTGAAAGTTTTAGCTTCAGTAACCCTACTAGGTAGACTTCCACTCATCCACTATTCTATTTCAAAACCAATACCTTCCTATATCCTTTCTAAATCTAAACACATCCAATTTGAATCCATTATTTCAATGTCTTTCTTGGAGGGACATCCTCATTATTTTCACCGCTGGTTTGATGTACCAGCGTAAAACTTCCTGAAACTATGGCCAGCTGCAGGAACCGTCTGCTCAGTTTTTTTATAGACCATTCTTGGTTTTGATTTTCATGTTATAACTTTTAAAAGCCTCTTCTAATTGGCTTCAATTTTTTCAAAATCAACGTATCGTATTTAGAAAGTTTGAATTGTTATTGAAGTGTACCTCCTCTCGTTCTACCCCCCCCCTCGGATATATACTGGCTCCCTTTCCTTCACGCTCGTGTGTGACTAATTAATGGTTCAAGTCGGACCGAAACATCGTCACAAGTTTCATTCTTTCATGTGCGGGTTATTTGTGTGTTGTTCTGTTTGGTGAATATTTTCCACCAGACGAGCCTGGCCCATGGCCGGGCTCAAAGAGTAGAGAAACTCTCGAAACTCTTCAAAGGTATATCAAAGGTATGCCTTTCTGAACACTGTCAATGGTTGGTGTTAGTCATATAGCACTGTAGGTAGGGATGTACTAATATAAGAAACCACGGAACGGGTGAGGGTTGAACCCACCAAGAGTGGGTCGTAAAACTCCAGGCCAGTGCGTTAACCATTGGCCTGGAGTTTTCTCTTTTGCATCACCTTTCCTTGTTGGGAAATGACTGGTTTATTTTACGACTCACACGCCATGGGTTCAAACCTTATCCGTTCTGTGATTTGTTTGGGGTTAGTGAAAGTGGAGATGGGGTTGGTGCAAGAATAAAATATAAATCGTAGTTGGTGCAATAGGTTAGTTTCGGTTAAAGTGTCAAGGAGAGGCTGCATCAAGACTAAGTGAGGTCAGTGTGTCAGGGAGGTGACAATCTCTACAGATATGGTGGACTGTCATTGCAATCTGGGTCCCCAGAGAGAGGTGCTGGTCGTTCCTTCATGTGTTGGTATCTGGTAATCTAAGTGAGAGCAAGAATTCTTGTTAGTGAGTTTAGGTTTGAGATGGACCTGCTTAGTACAGGCCAGCAGACCTGCTGCTCCTTATGTTCTTAAACATAAGCGTGGGAATGCAGTTTCCCAAACCTTGCAGTGGTGATAAGATGGTCAGAATCCCAGTCGTGGTTTGATAACGATTTGTTGTGGTGTAACTCGATTAACGTTATTACCATACTTGGTGCTACCATACTTGGTGCTACCATACTTGGTGCTACCATACTTGGTGCTACCAGACTTGCTGGTACCATACTTGCTGGTACCAGAGACTTGCTGGTACCAGACTTGCTGGTACCAGAGACTTGCTGGTACCAGTGACTTGCTTGTACCATACTAGGTGGTACCAGACTTGCTGGTACCATACTAGGTGGTACCAGACTTGCTGGTACCATACTTGCTGGTACCAGAGACTTGCTGGTACCAGAGACTTGCTGGTACCATACTTGCTGGTACCATACTTGCTGGTACCACAGCTCACATGATGCTCCCAGATGCAACATCCTCACCCCAACTGAAATATATTTAGGGAAATAATCACAACAATTTGAATATAAAATAATTTATATACCATATACAAAATTAAGTTTTCACAGGAAAACTTTAGTGATAGTCAAGTTATATATTATAAATATCTGAATATCAACATACAGTATTTACCTGCAAATACCCAGTATATATTACTTATATCTGAATATTCACCATAGGCAATTTAAATATATCAAACATATGTTCCCTATATCTGAATATATCGAATATCACAGCACAATAAACAAAATAGACATAAGCAATGATTCATATAAACATAATATATTATAACTACCAATATGTTAATAAATTATTTTTGAAAAGTAACGTGAAGTTATCCATCACTTCTAATATAAACTACCTCCGTATTCCCCACGTTATGTATGATCCTTACGGGTTTAGTGCCTCACCCTGAATATAAAATAATAAACTAAAATCTGACCCCCAAAAAACTCTGGAGATACTTGCAAATAGTATACATTAATTTTCTCTCTCTCTCTCTCTCTCTCTCTCTCTCTATATATTATATATATATATATATTATATATATATATATATATATATATTATATATTTTATATATATATATATATATATATAAAATATATATATTTTCAACAAGTCGGTCGTCTCCCACCGAGGCAGGGTGACCCAAAAAAAAGAAAGAAAATCCCAAAAAGAAAATACTTTCATCATCATTCAACACTTCACCACACTCACACATTATCACTGTTTTTGCAGAGGTGCTCAGAATACAACAGCTTAGAAGCATATACGTATAGAGATACACAACATATCCCTCCAAACTGCCAATATCCCAAACCCCTCCTTTAAAGTGCAGGCATTGTACTTCCCATTTCCAGGACTCAAGTCCGACTATATGAAAATAACCGGTTTCCCTGAATCCCTTCACTAAATATTACCCTGCTCACACTCCAACAGATCGTCAGGTCCCAAGTATCATTCGTCTCCATTCACTCCTATCATACTGCTCATCAGTGACTAGAATAAACGGTAAATACTTAATTTATTGAAATCAAGAATATATCTTTCTAATATAGAAAGATTATTATATTCCTGGGAGCACTGAATCCGTATGGGAAATGAGGAAATTAGATTTGGCAAGGCGAGTGGCTATAACTCCTTGGATCAAGAGCCTGTCACCACCGAGGCACCAAGAAAGATACTTTCCTAGAATCAAACCTGATTACCTCCCATTCCCCAGGACTGTATAACCCCTGACGAACTTCAGAGTTCCTTTAGGAATATATACCAGGCGAGTCCTCAACACCCCCCCCCCCCCTCCACCAAAAAAAAAAAATGTTGAACATTTCCTGTTCATAAGACACAGCAATGTTACACGCCTGACAACATAATTCTCTTCTTGAAGTACCAGTTATTTGACATTTAAATGGTCATGCACATCGTATAGAGGAAAAAGCTATGATGTAGAAACATGGATAAGAGTGATGGCTGGTAGGTTTCAATACTATATACTCTACCAGGATGCTTGTTAGCTTCTGAAGCAAATAAAATTTATTATTGTATGTGCTCTAAGTTAAAGAAAATAGATTTTTAAGTTAAACTAATGTGTTTTATTTCACTGTCTCAGTTATTCACCTTATTTAAAACAATTTTCAAAATATATTAAATATCCGGTAAGTCACGCAAAACCACCAGTCAAGAATGTCTGCCTAAATAACACACTAGTATAGTATTCTCAGCCTATATACACTAAGCAATACATGTCTCTGAGTGTATAAATTATATATTATAAAAATATATATTATTAATTAAAATAAAATATATATATATATATATTTATATATATATTATATTATATAATCTTGATGTATTATATATAGATACACAGCTGTCGGTGTATATACCGTTGTAGAGTGAAGGGTAATGAGTGAAGACAGACACAAGGAAGACTGGTGATCAAGCGAGTGCTACAGCCATTGTTACTATTATTTTACTGAAAATTACCTGATACTGCATCACCGTTACTTCTTAGTATTGTGGCAATGACGTTATTTAGTTGGCCGAGGTTTAATACTCAACATTATATACGATACAGAAGTTGGTTAATAGGACCGTCTTAATAGAATCATGAGGCACTATTAATAAATTACTGGTTTGAAAGGCAATAACATGTCGACTACTACCGTAAGCAATACCTGCCTTTGTTACAATAGCTTGGTAAAAATTATATATGTATACAACAGTATGTAAAACCATATTATTAACAAGGTTATATGCACTAATGCACTTGCATTGAGCTTATTAAATGTAAGTCTAGGTAACAACCTTCGTTACCGATAAGCGAGAGAACTTCTCACTTGAGAAACTATTTCGTCAGCAAAGCGTCGCCCTGCGGCTGTAGGGAAGAAGAGAGTGGAGTGACTTAGGTAGAAGTGTAGGCTTTGTGACTCCTCCTGCACCTGCAGGTTGATGGTGTGTGTGAAGAGGAGGTGACGCAAGCATTGAAAGTTTCCCCAGCCCTGAAGCTGAGACCACCTTCCCATGTCTGCTAAACAAACTAGAAGCCTTCAAACTGACGTTAGATATAGAGAGAGTTACATTAGGAAACCTAGGCGAGACTCGTTCTTCTACTTCCTCCTCGTCTTCACTTACCTCTCGTTCCAGATTCAGAGGTATTTTTTGTGTGGTATATTTTACTCCCTTAGACATCTCCCAGTGTTTTTTGTGGACTGATTTGGCCGTTCTCCAGAAATTTGTGTTCCATTCCTCAGGTCTGGCTTTGATAGTGATGGCGGAATTTTCCTCTGGCACACTGTCATCGTTTTCATGGTCGTCGTAACTGTCGTGCCACTCGTAAGGAGCCTCTGGCCAGTTATAATGGACAAAGAGTTTATGATCAACGACAACAGTCCCAGACTCAGGTTCTAGCCCAACCTCCAGTGCCAGGTTGGCCGTAGCGGCACTGACACACGCTGTAAACCCACTGAAATAACTAACTCTCTCAGCCTTACACTTGTTTATAAAATTGCGACTGAGTACTGGGTCGATAGTTCTCTCAACGTAGCCGTTATCGTCAGTTTCATTCTCCTCGCCGTTATAGTTGCTGGTGAAGACATCGGCATTGTTACTGTATACTGGACACACATTCCGTCGGTTGTCAATAATATCCAGCTGCTCCTCATACTCTGTTTTCTGTGATTCTGTATCTGGAGGGCACTCAGACACCGGCTCGACCTCCTCCTCGGTGATTCCCTCAGCAAGAACCTCCTCGAGAAGTGTAATAAGTGTATCACAGATATTCACGATAGTGGAGTCCTCAGCAAAGGCCTGGGGAACACCCAGCAACAGTTGGTACCTGTGAAGGAAGGCGCAGGTGGTGGAAGTGTTGGCGCTGCTACTATTGCTGGTGCTGCTACTACTGCTGGTGCTGCTGCTGCTGCTGCTGGATGCTGCAGTAGCATCTGCAGTGTCACCGCCTGTTAAGGTGGCGTCCACTTTCCTGACAAAGGTGGTGTCAGCCGTGCTATTAGTGGTGAGGGCAGTGTCAGCCGTCCCATTAGTGGTGAGGTCAGTGTCAGCCGTCTCATTAGTGGTGAGGGAGGTACCAGCCATCCCATTAGTGGTGAGGGTGTTGTCAGTCGTCTCATCAGTGGTGAGGGTGGTGTCAGCCGTACTATCGGTGGCGAGGGTGGTATCAGGAGTGTTAGAAGTGTAACTATGCAGTGTGGTGGTACACAGTGGGCCTCCCCACAAGTTAGTGTGCCGCTGCTGGATATCCTCCACTGAGTTCCACTTGCTCTCCACACTGTCCACCATCTAGAATTCAAAATTCAAAAATTATATTTCCAAAACATTATAAACATATCTTTGAAAAGCCTATAGTCAGCCCAGTATTCAGTACAGTATTAGCCTAGTTCTTTACTTAAGTAAAATCATCATTTCAAGGATGGAGGAGGGGTCCTTGATGTCATTAAAGGGCTCCCGATTCAAAAAATTTGGTTCGGGATAGGCTTTAGCACTTGTCCATGAGTAATAATAATAATATTAATAATAATAATAATAATAATAATAATAATAATAATAATAATAATAATAATAATAAAATTTCTCGAATATTAAAATCCATGGACCCATACTCTATCAAGTACAATGCCTGCACTTTAGAGGAAAGGTTTGGGATATTTACTGTTTCGAGTGACATCTAAGCTATCACATCTGCGCGCCTCTGGATATACAGTGATAGTGTGAATGATGATGAAATTATTTCTTTTTCTGGGTTACCATGCCTCGGTGGGAGACGACCAGCGTGTATAAAAAAGACAGCAACAATACTGGCAAGACACTGGATATATTAGAAAAAAAGCTCGGACACATGAGATACTTATTGTTAATTCTACGATAGGATCATTTACAACACAAGTGATATTTGTGTTGCAATCTGCAAGGCTGTCATCAGAGCCGGATTAAGATTTTGTAGGCCCCTGGGCTACAGGTACTGTGAGGGCCCTGGGCTACAGGTACTGTGAGGCCCCTGGGCTACAGGTATTGTGAGGCCCCTGGGCTGCAGGTATTGTGAGGCCCCTGGGCTACAGGTACTGTGAGGCCCCTGGGCTACAGGTACTGTGAGGCCCCTGGGCTACAGGTATTGTGAAACCCCTGGGCTACAGGTACTGTGAGGCCCCTGGACTACAGGTACTGTGAGGGCCCTGGGCTACAGGTACTGTGAGGCCCCTGGGCTACAGGTATTGTGAGGCCCCTGGGCTACAGGTATTGTGAGGCCCCTGGGCTACAGGTACTGTGAGGGCCCTGGGCTACAGGTACTGTGAGGCCCCTGGGCTACAGGTACTGTGAGGCCCCTGGGCTACAGGTATTGTGAGGCCCCTGGGCTACAGGTATTGTGAGGCCCCTGGGCTACAGGTACTGTGAGGCCCCTGGGCTACAGGTACTGTGATGCCCCTGGGCTACAGGTATTGTGAGGCCCCTGGGCTACAGGTAGTGAGGCCCCTGGGCTACAGGTACTGTGAGGCCCCTGGGCTACAGGTATTGTGAGGCCCCTGGGCTACAGGTATTGTGAGGCCCCTGGGCTACAGGTACTGTGAGGCCCCTGGGCTACAGGTACTGTGAGGCCCCTGGGCTACAGGTACTGTGAGACCCCTGGGGTACAAGTACTGTGAGGCCCCTGGGCTACAGGTACTGTGAGGCCCCTGGGCAACAGGTACTGTGAGACCCCTGAGCTACAGGTACTGTGAGGCACCTGGGCTACAGGAACTGTGAGGCCCCTGGGCTACAGGTATTGTGAGGCCCCTGGGCTACAGGTATTGTGAGGCCCCTGGGCTACAGGTACTGTGAGGCCCCTGGGCTACAGGTACTGTGAGGCCCCTGGGCTACAGGTACTGTGAGACCCCTTGGGTACAGGTACTGTGAGGCCCCTGGGGTACAGGTACTGTGAGGCCCCTGGGCTACAGGTACTGTGAGACCCCTGGGGTACAGGTACTGTGAGACCCCTGGGGCACAGGTACTGAGACCCCTGGGGTACAGGTACTGTGAGGCCCCTGGGCTACAGGTACTGTGAGACCCGTGGGGTACATGTACTGTGAGACCCCTGGGCTACAGGTACTGTGAGGCCCCTGGGCTACAGGTAATGTGAGACCCCTAGGGTACAGGTACTGTGAGGCCCCTGGGCTGCAGGTACTGTGAGACCCCTGGGGTACAGGTATTGTGAGGCCCTGGGCTACAGGTATTGTGAGGCCCCTGGGCTACAGGTATTGTGAGGCCCCTGGGCTACAGGTATTGTGAGGCCCCTGGGCTACAGGTACTGTGAGGCCCCTGGGCTACAGATACTGTGAGGCCCCTGGGGTACAGGTACTGTGAGACCCCTGGGGTACAGGTACTGTGAGGCCCCTGGGCTACAGGTATTGTGAGGCCCCTGGGCTACAGGTACTGTGAGACCCCTGGGGTACAGGTACTGAGACCCCTGGGGTACAGGTACTGTGAGACCCCTGGGGTACAGGTACTGTGAGGCCCCTGGGCTACAGGTACTGTGAGACCCCTGGGGTACAGGTACTGTGAGACCCCTGGGCTACAGGTACTGTGAGGCCCATGGGGTACAGGTACTGTGAGACCCCTGGGGTACAGGTACTGTGAGGCCCCTGGGCTACAGGTACTGTGAGACCCCTGAGCTACAGGTACTGTGAGGCCCCTGGGCTACAGGTACTGTGAGGCCCCTGGGCTACAGGTACTGTGAGGCCCCTGGGCTCCAGGTACTGTGAGGCCCCTGGGCTACAGGTACTGTGGGACCCCTGGGCTACAGGTACTGTGAGGCCCCTGGGCTACAGGTACTGTGAGGCCCCTGGGCTACAGGTACTGTGAGACCCCTGGGCTACAGGTACTGTGAGGCCCCTGGGCTACAGGTACTGTGAGACCCCTGGGCTACAGGTACTGTGAGACCCCTGGGCTACAGGAACTGTGAGGCCCCTGGGCTACAGGTACTGTGAGGCCCGTGGGCTACAGGTACTGTGAGGCCCCTGGGCTACAGGTACTGTGAGACCCCTGGGCTACAGATACTGTGAGGCCCCTGGGCTACAGGTAGTGAGACTCCTGGGCTACAGGTACTGTGAGACCCCTGGGCTACAGGTACTGTGAGACCCCTGGGCTACAGGTACTGTGAGACCCCTGGGCTACAGGTACTGTGAGGGCTCTGGGCTACAGGTACTGTGAGACCCCTGGGCTACAGGTACTGTGAGACCCCTGGGCTACAGGTACTGTGAGGCCCCTGGGCTACAGGTACTGTGAGGCCCCTGGGGTACAGGTACTGTGAGACCCCTGGGCTACAGGTACTGTGAGGCCCCTGGGCTACAGGTACTGTGAGACTCCTGGGCTACAGGTACTGTGAGGCCCCTGGGGTACAGGTACTGTGAGACCCCTGGGGTACAGGTACTGAGGCCCCTGGGCTACAGGTACTGTGAGACCCCTGGGCTACAGGTACTGTGAGGCCCTTGGGCTACAGGTACTGTGAGACCCCTGGGCTACAGGTACTGTGAGGCCCCTGGGCTACAGGTACTGTGAGGCTCCTGGGCTACAGGTACTGTGAGGCCCTTGGGCTACAGGTACTGTGAGACCCCTGGGCTACAGGTACTGTGAGGGCCCTGGGCTACAGGTACTGTGAGGCTCTTGGGCTACAGGTACTGTGAGACCCCTGGGCTACAGGTAATGTGAGGCCCCTGGGCTACAGGTACTGAGGCTCCTGGGCTACAGGTACTGAGACCCCTGGGCTACAGGTACTGTGAGACCCCTGTGGTACAGGTACTGTGAGACCCCTGGGCTACAGGTACTGAGGCCCCTGGGCTACAGGTACTGTGAGACCCCTGGGGTACAGGTACTGAGACCCCTAGGGTACAGGTACTGTGAGACCCCTGGGGTACAGGTACTGTGAGGCCCCTGGGGTACAGGTACTGTGATGCCCCTGGGCTACAGGTACTGTGAGGCCCCTGGGCTACAGGTACTGTGAGGTCCCTGGGCTACAGGTAGTGAGGCCCCTGGGGTAGAGGTACTGTGAGGCCCCTGGGCTACAGGTACTGTGAGGCCCCTGGGCTACAGGTACTGAGGCCCCTGGGCTACAGGTACTGAGACCCCTGGGGTACAGGTACTGTGAGACCCCTGGGGTACAGGTACTGAGACCCCTGGGGTACAGGTACTTTGAAACCCCTGGGGTACAGGTACTGTGAGACCCCTGGGCTACAGGCACTGAGGCCCCTGGGCTACAGGTACTGTGAGGCCCCTGGGCTACAGGTACTGTGAGGCCCCTGGACTACAGGCACTGTGAGGGCCCCTGGGCTACAGGCACTTTGAGGCCCCTGGGCTACAGGCACTGTGAGGCCCCTGGGCTACAGGCAGTGAGGGCCCCTGGGCTACAGGCACTGTGATGGCCCCTGGGCTACAGGCACTGTGAGGCCCCTGGGCTACAGGCACTGTGAGGTCCCTGGGCTACAGGTACTGTGAGGGCCCCTGGGCTACAGGCACTGTGATGGCCCCTGGGCTACAGGTATTGTGAGGGCCCCTGGGCTACAGGCACTGTGAGGCCCCTGGGCTGCAGCCCTTAAAAACCCATGCTTTGATCTGGCCCTGTCTCACATATAGGTAAATTTTATCATGTTCAAACACAAGCACCAAACCCGTATGGGTCACACAAATGTTATGGGGGAAGCGCTAACCCCTTTGAGGTGATCATGCTCCTGGGGAATAGGGGGGGGGAATCAGATTTGATCTACGGGAATGGGGTTTAAAGGCCTATCGACTACATTAGTGTTCTATATAAGCCTTACACCAACAGACAGGAATATTTCAACCCCTAAAATAGGGATGAGAGTAACTCTCAGCACATATTTCCGGTGTAAGTGTTGCTAGAATTACCCACAATATGTTAGGTGAAATAACACAAGTGCAATTATTGTGGCAACGTTTCGGTCTCCAGGAGCTTTATCAAGGTAACTGCTTGACAAAGCTCCTGGAGAGCGAAACGTTGCCACAGTAAAATGTCACATTAGTTACACTTGTGTCCTGTTACACCTATATACAGGGTGTTTGTACTTGAGAGACATACACATCAGAGTGTGTATCCCAGAGCTGAGCCAAGAAAAGGCTGGGTACATACAATTACTCTATCAACATCAAGGTACATCCAACCTTTGAAAAAAATTGAAAAGTGGAGACAAAATGCAATAATAATGAGCACTAGATAATTGTATGTTCGTGGGGAAGCGCTATACACGCAGGGGTAACAATAAGTGACTGACCTAAGGCATTTTGTGTAAATCTTCAAATATTAGTCTGTAAAACCCTTCAAGGAGGAGGGGGAAGGTTCATTCCTGAAGGGCTCTTATTCCAGGGAATTGGAGATACTCTTGTCTACCTCTAAATCAAATCTGATTATCATCCATTCCCAGGTAATATATGATTCATGTGGGTTCTGCACTAACCCATCAATAATAATAATAATAATAATAATAATAATAATAATAATAATAATAATAATAATAATAATAATAATAATAATGTCTGCATAAGAATTAAGTAAAAGAGAAAGGCATAAAATATAATCTAAAGGAGAAGAGAAGAGAATAGGAGAGGGAGAGGGAGAAGGAGAGGTATAATAACAGACCTGGTAATGGAGAGGCTGGAGAGGCTCTGTACAGATCCAAGGTGTGCGATCAGGTCCTCTTAGCCGTAACCGCAGGCGCCACCATGGCCACTGTCTGCAACACACGCATTCCTTAGTTCGTTGCAAACAATACGTTCCATATGTACTGTGTGAGAGCGGGTTGCAAA